AAAGAACTGTACCAAATAATACAAGCCACATCACTTGAGGACATTCAAAATTAGTAACAACAGCTAAAAAGGATATCAATGTAACTCAAAGAGAAAATAATGAAAAACTGTTTTAAGAAAAAAATTTTATAAATTTCAACCAAAAGTAATCCTGTTAGATGAATGGTTTGGTTTGGTTTGGTTTGGTTTGGTTTTGTTTAACAGCATATCAACCTCAATGGGTTATTTAATGGCCACAACATTTTTAGGATAGATTCGTATGAATAGAATATGTATTCTTTGGTTTGGATTGGTTTGATTTATTTTGTTTAACAGCATATCAACCTCAATGGCTTATTTAATGCTGACAACATTTTTAGGATAGATTCGTATGAATAGATTATGCATTCTTTGGTTTAGATTGGTTTGGTTTATTTTGTTTAACAGCATATCAACCTCAATGGGTTATTTAATGCCGACAACATTTTTAGGATAGATTCGTATGAATAGAATATGTATTCTTTGGTTTAGATTGGTTTGGTTTATTTTGTTTAACAGCATATCAACCTCAATGGGTTATTTAATGCCGACAACATTTTTAGGATAGATTCGTATGAATAGAATATGTATTCTTTGGTTTAGATTGGTTTGGTTTATTTTGTTTAACAGCATATCAACCTCAATGGTTTATTTAATGCTGACAAAAATTTTTATTGCTGGTAATATTTTATTTTGTCAAAAATCTGTTTCTGTTAATATATTTCCTTCAAAATTGTATTGCTGTTAATAATTTTTTCAAAAAAGTATTGCTGGTAATAGTTAACTATTTGCCCATAGCTGTGACCCTAACAGGTGCTACCACTCCAGGTCAGGGGAACACCAGCCATTAAGTGGTGGTTCCACGCTCCTCAAAACCTCCTAATCAGAGGCCTTGCTGGATGTAGTTTAACGTCTTACCCAGGATACGGATGTAGTTTAACGTCTTACCCAGGATGTGTTGTAGTTTAACATCTTACTCAGGACACAAATGCAACTCAAAGAGAAAATAATGACATAATCAAGATGTTGATATTCCGTATTACTTTGTGGAGTGAAGGTGGAAATACACAGGAAGACGCTTAAACACCAGATGACAAAAAATGATTTCTGAGTCAGAGGACTTATGCATCCATCTATTTAATAAATTAATCCTTTGAAAATAAATATTTAACATTTTTCAACTAATGGATCACACATTACTGCCGCCAATAGAAAACATGCTTCATGATCCCTTTGAAAAGTACAGAAGCCAAGTTTCTAGATCAGACAAGCAGTAAGGAGTAGGAGCAGCAACATACTGTAACACCACAGCTTAAAAGAGATTCCCTTACTCAGTCACCCATCTTCCTTACCAAGCTACCTGACACTTACACTTTCCTCCTCACTTTCTCCTATGCCTGTTTTTTTTTCACACATGCATGCAAAGAAATCACATTTCTTTTCATCTTAACAAACAGTTACAAACAAGGACTTAAATAAATTTAATACTCGCACATGCTATGAAAAATTTAGTCGTAAAAACACAAAAATAAAAATATCTAATATTTTTATATTTAAAAATCTTTCTCGCCTTTTCTTTGTTTTGGATTGATTGAAATCTGCAACAACTTCAAACAAGAAAAGAGCAATAATATTTATTGAACTTGAGAAATGTATTTTCCTGGGCAAAAAAATATTCAAAAGAAGAAATATTTTTTTATAAATTTCAGCAGAAAGTAGAATTCCTGCAGTTTTGGTTGGAAGTGAAGTAAACATTTCGATTCATTTTAGGTGGGAGGAGACACTCGCTCCTGGGGAATCTAACCCTTTGGTAGCACCTTCCTCAATGCTGTAAAAGAATTAAGTTTGGTGTATATCAATGCCAGTGTGACAAATGCTTTTGCTTTTGACCCATATGAATACATATATGTATGGGGCTCCCCACATAAAAACGACCTTGTGTCACATCCTGACTTAGTCAGGAGACCAGGTAAATACACCTGGTTGCTTCGTCAATGAATTCTGAATGTTTCCTTTTGTGATGTCAACAAATACTCATTGTCAATTTCGTAATGCTCATTGTAGTAGAGACTTTGTATTCACAGATACCACTATAGTACACTGTTGAACAATACTGGTGTCAGACACCTTTGAATAACACTCACACTAATAGTACTTGCTTGATAATGCTCACTTGAATTGTAATCTGTATAGTGATCCGAATAGAGAAAATGTATAGTTAATGGAGTAGAGAAATAGTATAAACTAGAAATAGAGATTTGAACAGTAATAGAGGATAGACTAGGAATATGATCCATAGAGTGATGGAATAGAATGTAGATTGTTAGTCATCAGTTACTTCCTGCATATATGTGTTTCCTCTATAGTCATGTGGTCTACTTAATAATGGGATCGCCTGTGTTTGCTCACTGGCGATCTATGTTCAAACTCAAGTGTCGGCAGTGACACTTTATTCCTATATAACATTTCCTTATAAATATATAAGAGACTAATATAAACATTATTGTTACCACACCCACAGAACTTTAAATGGGGCTTTGAACTGAACTTTGAACTGAACCCTTTAATCAATACACAAGGTTAGATTGTCTACATTCACTTTTTGTATCTTCCACTCAACCAGTGTATGTGATATGTCCAAACAATACTTTTCTACCAAATTCATGAACCATCTCATATAGAAAATACAGAAAGGATTGTAGCCAATAAAAAAGGCTATAGCAAATGCAGAAAGGACTGTAGCAAATACTGAAAGGAGTGTGGCCAATATTCCAATACTAAATGTGCCCTAGGCAACAATGAAAATGGCAGTAGCAAATATAGAAGCCCCAGTAGCAAATACTGAAATGCTGTAGCTAATGCAGAAATGGCTGCAGCAAATATGCAGCATTTTTTAGTAGCAAATATTGAAAAGGTTTTAGCCAGTACTAAAAGTGCTGTAGCCAATACTTATAGGATGGTAACCAAACTGAAGAGCTGTAGCAAATACAGAAAGAGATGTAGCAAATAGTGTAAGTGTCATAGCCAATACTGAAATGGCTATAGCTAGTACTGAAAGGGCTGTATCAAATACTGAAAGAGCTGCAGCCAATATTGAAGCTTCTGTAGCCAATATAGAAATGGCTGTATCAAATACTGAAAGTGTTATAGCAAATACTGAAAGTGCTTCCCCCAATACTGATAGGGATGTGGCCAATACTGAAGGGCTGTAGCAAATACAGAAAGGACTGTAGCAAATACTGAAAGGGGTGTGGCCAATATTCCAATACTAAATGTGCCCTAGGCAACAATGAAAATGGCAGTAGCAAATATAGAAGCCCCAGTAGCAAATACTGAAATGCTGTAGCCAATGCAGAAATAGCTGTAGCAAATATGCAGCATTTTTTCTGTAGCAAATATTGAAGAAGACAAGGAGGACGAGAACAAAAGAAGAAGAGGATGAGAATAAATGAAGTGGAGGAAGAAGAGAATAAAAGAAGAGGAGTAAAAGGAGAGAAAATTCTTTTTCTCTCCTTTTACTCCTCTTCTTTTGTTCTTCCTCCTCCTCCTCTTCTAAGAGAATAGAAGAAGATGAGGAGGAGAACAAAAGAAAAAGAAGAGGAGGAGGAGGAGAATAAAGGAAGAAAGAGGAGAGGAGGAGAATAAAGGAAGAAAGGGAAGAGGAGGAGAATAAAGGAAGAAAGAGGAGAGGAGGAGAATAAAGGACGAAAGGGAAGAGGAGGAGAATAAAGGACGAAAGGGAAGAGGAGGAGAATAAAGGAAGAAAGAGGAGAGGAGGAGAATAAAGGACGAAAGGGAAGAGGAGGAGAATAAAGGAAGAAAAGAGGAGGAGGAGAATAAAGGACGAAAGGGAAGAGGAGGAGAATAAAGGAAGAAAGAGGAGGAGGAGAATAAAGGAGAAAGGGAAAGGAGGAGAATAAAAGGAAGAAAGAGAAGAGGAGGAGAATAAAGGAAGAAAGAGGAGAGGAGGAGAATAAAGGAAGAAAGAGAAGAGGAGCAGAACAAAAGAAAAAAATAAAGAAAAAACAAAGAACTAAGAAACTTTAAAGTTCAATTTTCTCTTTTGCCCTTTTTTATTTTTTTATTTCTTCTTTTCGTCTACATCTCTATTTCCTTCTTACTTTTGATCAACTTCTTTTTCCTCTTTTTCTTTCTCTTTTCATTCTTCTTCTTTCATTCATCTTACCTTTTCTCCATTTCTCTCTTTTTCCCTTGATTTTTCTTTTTTTACATTATATTTTCCTTCCTCTTCTTTGTCTTTTCCTTTCTTCATTTCCTTTTTCTTCTCATTATTATTCTTATTATCATTATTTTCTTTTTACCATCTTTTTTTCTTATTATTCTTGATTTGTTCCTCTTTGTATACATTTCTTTCTTCTTTCTCCTTTTACTCCAGTGTTTTTTTTTCTTTTTCCTCCTTCTCTTCTTCACATGTTCCACCTTTTTCATTCTTTCTATATTTTGCTCATTTTCTTTCTTTTTGTTAATGCTTAATTACTTCTTTTTTTATCTACATCTCCTTTTCCCTTCCTCTTCTATGTCTATTCCTTTCTTCTTCTTCTTCTTCTTCTTCTTCTTATTATTATTATTATTATTATTATTATTATTAATATTATTACTTCATTTCTGCCATCTTTTTTTTTCAATGTTTTTACTTCTTGCTCTTTATCTACATTTCTTTTTCTTTTCTCTATTTTTCCATCAGATTCTTCTTCTTCTGCTTCTCCTTCATTTTCTCATATTTTCTCACCTTTTTTTTTTATCTCAACTCTTTTCTTCAAGAAATCATTCTTTCTTCTCTTCTCTCTCTTTCTACATGATTCTAATTGTTCTCCTCCTCCTCATCATTACTCGCTTTTTTCCCTCCCCTCTCTGTTTCATCTTATCTTTCTCCCTGATATTCCTCATTTCTCCCCTCTCCCAACAATAGACCAGTATAAATGTACATTTACAAACATTAGTGAAACCTTTGTTGGAGATTTATGTTTAAGAGAAACAACTTACAAAGGACAAAATTACAAAGGGTCCATAGATTAAGTTTTGTTTTTTCACATTATTTCATAGATTTGTTTTGTCTTCATTTTTGTTCTACTCCTGCTCCTCTTCTTCTTTTGTTCTCCTCCTCTTCTCTTTCTTCCTTTATTCTCCTCCTCTTCCCTTTCGTCCTTTATTCTCCTCCTCTCCTCTTTCTTCCTTTATTCTCCTCCTCTTCCCTTTTGTCCTTTATTCTCCTCCACTTCTCTTTCTTCCTTTATTCTCCTCCTCTTCTCTTTCTTCCTTTATCCTCTTCCTCTTCTCTTTCTTCCTTTATTCTCCTCCTCTCCTCTTTCTTCCTTTATTCTCCTCCTCTTCTCTTTCTTCCTTTATTCTCCTCCTCTCCTCTTTCTTCCTTTATTCTCCTCCTCTTCCCTTTCTTCCTTTATTCTCCTCCTCTTCCCTTTCGTCCTTTATTCTCCTCCTCTTCTCTTTCTTCCTTTATTCTCCTCCTCTTCTCTTTCTTCCTTTATTCTCCTCCTCTTCCCTTTTGTCCTTTATTCTCCTCCTCTTCTCTTTCTTCCTTTATTCTCCTCCTCTCCTCTTTCTTCCTTTATTCTCCTCCTCTTCCTTTTGTCCTTTATTCTCCTCCCCTCCTCCTTCCTTTATTCTCCTTTCCCTTTTGTCCTTTATTCTCCTCCCTCCCCTCTTTCTTCCTTTATTCTCCTCCTCTCCTCTTTCTTCCTTCCTCTTGCCTTTTGTCCTTTATTCTCCTCCTCTTCTCTTTCTTCCTTTATTCTCCTCCTCCCTCTTCCTTCCCTTTCTTCCTTTGTCCTTTATTCCTCCTCCTCTCCTTTTCTTCCTTTATTCTCCTCCTCTTCTTTTTGTCCTTTATTCTCCTCCTCTTCTCTTTTCTTCCTTTATTCTCCTCCTCTTCTCTTTCTTCCTTTATTCTCCTCCTCTTCTCTTTCTTCCTTTATTCTCCTCCTCTCCTTTCTTCCTTTATTCTCTCCTCCTCTTCCCTTTCGTCCTTTTCTCCTCCCTCCCTCTTCCTTTTTCTCCTCCCTTTCTTTTCTTCCTTTATTCTCCTCTCCTCTTTCTTCCTTTATTCTCCTCCTCTTTCTTTCTTCCTTTATTCTCCTCCTCTTCTCTTTCTTCCTTTATTCTCCTCCCCTTCTCTTCGTCCTTTTATTCTCCTCCTCTTCTCTTTTCTTCCTTTATTCTCCTCCTCTTCCCTTTTCGTCCTTTATTCACCTCCTCTCCTCTTTCTTCCTTTATTCTCCTCCCTCTTTCTTTCCTTTATTCTTCCTCCTTTCTTTCTTTTATTCTCCTCCCTCCTCTTTCTTCCTTTATTCTCCTCCTTCTCTTTCGTCCTTTATTCTCCTCCTCTTCTCTTTCTTCCTTTATTCTCCTCCTCTTCTCTTTCTTCCTTTATTCTCCTCCTCTCCTCTTTCTTCCTTTATTCTCCTCCTCTTCTCTTTCTTCCTTTATTCTCCTCCTCTTCTCTTTCGTCCTTTATTCTCCTCCTCTTCTCTTTCTTCCTTTATTCTCCTCCTCTTCTCTTTCTTCCTTTATTCCTCCTCCTCTTTCGTCCTTTATTCTCCTCCTCTTCCCTTTCTTCCTTTATTCTCCTCCTCTTCTTTCTTCCTTTATTCTCCTCCTCTTCTCTTTCTTCCTTTTATTCTCCTCCTCTTCTCTTTCGTCCTTTATTCTCCTCCTCTTCTCTTTCTTCCTTTATTCTCTCCTCTCCTCTTTCTTCCCTTTCTTCCTTTATTTCCTCCTCTCCTCTTTCTTCCTTTATTCTCCTCCTCCTCTTTCTTCCTTTTTCTCCTCCTTTATTCTTTCCTCCTTTATTCTCCTCCTTCTTTCTTCCTTTATTCTCCTCCTCTTCTCTTTCTTCCTTTATTCTCCTCCTCCTTTCTTCCTTTATTCTCCTTTCTTTCTTCCTTTATTCTCCTCCTCTTCCCTTTCGTCCTTTATTCTCCTCCCTCTTCCCTTTCTTCCTTTATTCTCCTCCTCTTCCCTTTCGTCCTTTATTCTCCTCCTCTCCTTTTCTTCCTTTATTCTCCTCCCTTCCTTCCTCTCCTCCTCTTTCTTCCTTTATTCTCCTCCCTCCCTTTTCTTCCTTTTTCTCCTCCTCTTCCCTTCGTCCTTTATTCTCCTCCTCTTTTTTCTTCCTTTATTCTCCTCCTCTCCCTTTTTCTTCCTTTATTCTCCTCCCTTCCTCTTTCGTCCTTTTATTCTCCTCCTCTTCTCTTTCTTCCTTTATTCTCCTCCTCTCCTCTTTCTTCCTTTATTCTCCTCCTCTTCCCTTTCTTCCTTTATTCTCCTCCTCTCCCTTTTCGTCCTTTATTCTCCTCCCTCTTCCCTTTCTTCCTTTATTCCTCCCTTCCCTTTCGTCCTTTATTCTTCCTCCTCTTTCTTTCTTCCTTTATCCTCTCCTTTCTTTCTTCCTTTATTCTCCTCCTCTCCTCTTTCTTCCTTTTATTCTCTCCCCTCTTCCTTTCGTCCTTCATTCTCCTCCTCTCCCTCTTTCTTCCTTTATTCTCCTCCTCTTCCCTTTCTTCCTTTATTCTCCTCCTCTTCTCTTTCTTCCTTTATCCTCTTCCTCTTCTCTTTCTTCCTTTATTCTCCTCCTCTCCTCTTTCTTCCTTTATTCTCCTCCTCTTCCCTTTCGTCCTTTATTCTCCTCCTCTCCTCTTTCTTCCTTTATTCTCCTCCTCTTCTCTTTCTTCCTTTATTCTCCTCCTCTCCTCTTTCTTCCTTTATTCTCCTCCTCTTCTCTTTCTTCCTTTATTCTCATCCTCTTCTCTTTCGTCCTTTATTCTCCTCCTTCTCTTTTGTCCTTTATTCTCCTCCTCCTCTTCTTCAGACATGTAATTTATTTTAAGGGTTACGCAAAGGTAAAAAGGTTGAGAAACGCTGCTCTAAAACAGTGAAAGAGAGTGTGTCTAAAAAGTGAGTGACTATGTAAAGAGAGAGAGAGAGAGAGACAGAGAGAGAAAAAGAAGTAAAAATAACAATAAGGAAGGAAAAAGAAGTAGACAGAGAGAAATGAGAGAGAGAGACACAAATGAAAGTTAAAGAAGGAAAAGATTAGAAAATGAAAATAAAAATAAAACTGATGTTGATGATTCAAAGGAGAAAGGAAAGGCTAGAGATAGAAGAGGAAGATGAAAATGATGAAATCGAGGAGAGAGAGAGAGGGAGAAAGAGAGAGAGAAAGAGAGAGAGAGAAAGAAAGATGGAAGGTAGAAGATAGAAAAAGAAGTTGAAACTGATAAGAAAGAAAGACCTAGAAAAGATTAAAAAGAAAATGAAGCAAGCATTTAACTAAATGAGAAGGAAAGACATAGAAAAGAGAAAGAAGAAGGGAAATGACACACAGAAAAAAAGAGGATTAATTAAAAAAAATGTGGAATGGAAGTTTAGTCTTAAAAGAGGGAAGTAATATGTCCTAAGAATTCCTAGGGAAGACATGGACATGATAAGTATATGAATTTGAATTACAAATTAAATAAACATTCCTCAATGACATTCAATGTCACCAAAAACAAGCTAGTAGATTGTTTGGAAAGTAATGTCCTATTTTAGAATCAATTTTTATTCCTGAATTAATGTATATAAACAATGTTTGAGTTAGTCAAGATTTATCACCCCGAACATTCACATATTTCTGTCATTGAGTTACAAGATTATTCACTCTTTACAATAAAATTCTCAAGGTTTGAATGCCAATTTCTGCATTTTCTTTGAAAGGGATGTCTTTTGGTTTAAAAGATTATCAAGATGCTTGAAAAAGCCATAGTCAAATGGGCACAGAGGTCAGGGAAATATGTTGGATGTGGAAATGTCTTGTATCCCAAGTTGGTGAGCTTCTGCTGTGTCATCCTGGCAATATGTGGCTGAACATTTTCATGAACCAGAATTGAATGTCATTGATAAACCAATGTCAGTTATATTTTGTTTAACCCTAGAACACTATCCATGGGTAGATAATACCCAGCACAAATTTTTCTATTTTTAATTACAATTTTCAGTACCTGATTTTCTTATCGAAATAATGTTTTTCAGTTCCTGTTAATGTTAACTCAAAGTACAAAATTTGAAGTGCCTGCATGTAAAATATTTCAAATAAAGGTTTATATTTAATATTTTTTTTGATATTTTCAAAATCGGGTATGATATACCCATGGTTAGTAGTGGTGTAACTTTAATTAATGGTTAGTGTTCTAGGGTTAACTGAATGTACATTTCACTCAGTTGCTTGCAGTAAACTTTGGTAGTAATCGGTTAGGGTTAGAATCAGAAAGTTGTAATGGATATAACACCAATGGTAGATCCCCAGGCAATCAGAATTTTTTATGATTGTCATAAAAGATCCATTTCTCATCACAAGTCACTATTCAATCAAGAAATGGATCATTTGAATATCGCAGATGCAGCATCAAACACACTTCAAAATATCAAACTCATTGACTTTCACTTAATTCAAGTGGAACTCCTATATTGAGTTCCTTCACCTTGCCAAATGTCTTGATATGTTGAAATACTGACACCCGTTAACTGGGACGTCTCCCAGACATTTTGACATGGATTTTCTTTGACGAGTGTTTTCAGATGTTGATTGTCACTTGCAGAGGGACATCCTCTACCAACTTGATCTTATAGCCCAACTCTGGAATTTCAGAAATCAGCACCATACTGTCTGATCACCCCATGCTCTGTTAATGTTGGTACAGCAGTTTCAGAAGCTATTATTACCAAGCTTCGACATGCAAAAAAGTAAACACATTTCTTCTTCTTTTCATGTTGAAGATGAGAGGTATGTAAAGTTTTAAGTTAAGTCATGAAAGTGACTGATATATGTTATATTCTGTGCTAATAGGAATATATACTTGAACACAGTGGATAAAATAAGTAAAGGTTTATTGTAAAAAACAGTACAATAAGAATAAAGGTAACAGTTATGCACAAGGTCATTGCAAGTCAATCCAGTAGTGTGTGCTACTATTGGAAGGTTGGTAGTTTTCACAGAAATCTGAGTTGTACTCAACAGATCCCAGCTAGTATATTTAGCTACACCCCATGAAGGTTGCATGTGGCACAAGGCCGGTTTAACATGGGTTCACTGAGCCCATAGGCTCAGCTAAAAATATTCCCTCTTGAACCTGTATAAATGGGTTCAGGGGCAGTCTACCTCCCCGAACAAGACTCTGCCCTTTGGCTGAGCCTTGTCCGGGTTCCTCTCTGCTCAGAGGCAGAGAGTTCGACTGTTTAGCTGGAACAGATCCCAGCTAGTATATTTAGCTACCCCCTTCCCCACAAGGGTTGCATAACATGGGTTCTCCAAGCCCGTAAGCTCGGCCAAAAATATTCCCTTTGGAACCTGTATAAATGGGTTCAGGGGCAGTCTACCTCCCTGACGAGACTCTGCCCTTTGGCAGACTCTCATCTGGGTTCCTCTCTGCTCAGAGGCAGAGAGTTTGAATATTTAGCTGGAACAGGTCACAGCTAGACTCTGTAGTTTGTTGACTTACAGATATGGGAGTTACTACCTATAGTGTAGTTACTCATGGGGGTAACAGGTTATTCCATTACATCATTTCATTACCTTCCTCTGCAGTGCATATGGAATGAGACATGCAAAATCCACCTATGAAACTACAATGGACTTCCACTGACACTATCATAATTCTGACTGGCATGTCTCTCATGCATAGCCCTCTTCCTCTGCTGTTTCATCCTTCATTTGTTCCACTGTTAGGGTCTTTGTGGTTGGTTGTTCTTAGTTTGCTTCCTTGTGTTTGACCTTGCTGCCAAGGATGACCCTAACAGGAATTTAGAATTCTGGACAGCATTTCTCTCAGAGTCACTGGACCATGCAAGCCCCTTCATCAAACAGTAGTAACCATCAAAGGTACAAAAATAGAAACATACATATATAAACACATATATATTTGAATGTTGGAGTAAACAGTAATACATTATTATTATTGCTATTATTACTATTATTATTATTATTGTTATTATTATTATTATTATTATTATTAATACTTTTGAAACCAAACAATAAATAAGAAAATAATAAAAGTATAAAGTTATTATCAAATATATAAGAACATTTTTATTATTATTATTATTATTATTATTATTATTATTATTATGTTGAAATGAGTAGCCAGCCATTTTTATGATAGCAAGGATACAATTTCTGGAGTATTTTACACACTATTGTACTTAAAAGGCAAGTAAAACTTTCGATATTTCGAATCAAAGAAAAGTAACAGAGTTTTACTTGTGTCAAAATAAGTAAAAGAAACAAAATAATAATAGACTTTCACTTTGATGTAACGCCTTAAAATAAAATAAAAATGAAATCTTTTGATTTTCATTGCAAAGAAAACGTTGAAAAAGGAAAAAAACAAGATTTTACAAAGATATTTTCATATTTAGAAATCGTAAAAAAATACAGTCTTTTTCTTTTAATTATTCTAGCACTGATAAAAAGTTTTGATAAGATCAATGGACTTTGATCAAAAATAGCAAAAATAAAATGGAAACTTTGAAGAACATCTCATAAATGCATAACTTTATGCCTTTATATGTAAATTCTAAATATGTAAATATTTAGTCTACTCAGATACAAGGCCATAATATTTGAGCACCTAACTTGCTATTAATGGCTTGCAAGATGAGTTGAGTAATCCCTACACTAGTGCAATGACCTGATAGCATTTACTATGCTTGACCTACTCTGGCACAAAGACACATTCATGGGTTGTTTACAAGGATCTAGACTAGCTTCCTAAGCAAAGATTAAAATCAGTCTAGTGTGGCACAAGGCAAAAATAACAGTAATAATAATAATAATTATTATTATTATTATTGAGTAGTGAGTTCAATCCTCACTAGATGCCCCATATTTTTGGCCTTGTACCACATCTAAGCTACACTTGGAAAATAGGGCACCTCAAGGCAGTGTCACTGTTAGCAAGCTTGTCTCACTAGAACAATAATAGTGAGTTTATTCCTCGTTAGGTGCCCCATACTTTCGGCTTTGTACCACATCTAAGCTATGCTTGGAAAATAGGGCACCTCAAGGCAGTGTCACTGTTAGCAAGCTTGTCTCACTAGAACAATAGTAGTGAGTTTATTCCTCATTAGGTGCCCCATACTTTCGGCTTTGTACCACATCTAAGCTATGCTTGGAAAATCACTATACTAAAATCTGACTAAATGATCAAACATAGAATTTCTTTTTGAATCTCTTCTTGGTTAGGGTGGGGGGACTTTTCCGCACCCGCTTGTATAATTGATTTATGGTGGTAATTTTATAGGTTCCATACTTTGGTTCTTTAAGTGTTCTTCAAGGCAGTTGGTATCATTTTTAAAATGTACTTTTATTTGCAACTGTTGGTATCTAGACATGATGGATTAACCAAAAAAATGGATCTGCCTGTTGGTAATGGGAGAAAACTATAGGGTAAAAGGTACTACACCATGAAAAGTGGAAAGGTAAGCGTTTTTTGGGAAACACATGTCTGGAAATTCACATCTTGAAACTGGTAAGCAGAAAAGATATATGAATGAACGTCTCTGTTCAACAACACATCAATAAATCTATGAGGAGTATGAGGTTTTTCCAGAAAATATTCAGTCATTTCTAATTAAAAAAAAAACAGCCTGTCTTTGGAAATAGTGCTTTAGTCTATTTCAAAATACTCCCTGATGAAAGTAATACTCGTTTCTCAGTGACCTTTCAAGATATCATCTTTCAAGATCATTATTATCCTACTCTCCTTAATTTCCTCATTTTTTTCTATTTCCCTTCAGAATATGGATGATCATGACTCTCCACAATTTCCTGGCCTTTGTAG